TGTTCATTTCAAGCATTCCTCATGTATGTTTGAAATATTACAGCAGTACAGTACAAATACTGATCCAAGCCCTTGTAAATAGATGTGAGACTTCATATCTCAGCATGCTTTCAAAGATTTATCTGCTCTGAATTGATTTTGCTCATGTGTTTCTCTCTGTCGCAGTGAAGGAATGAATCCTGATGCTCTGCTTCCTCCCACACGCCTCTCTTTCTCTCTCTCCCTCTCTCTTTCTCTCATTACTGGGTCAAGTGTGCAGTAGGAGATCAGTCCTCCTCACTGCAGCTCTGCACACATGCAATACACTACAATAAACAGCACATCAGCAGAACAAGCACTATGCCTTCAGTCATTCCAGTGCCTTTCATAAAAATGCTCTCCATTATCTGGGAATTACGCTTGGGTCTGTTTTGCTTTTATGCATCGTGGAATACCTATAGCAAGTTAACATGGTGATTTGTTTGTGCAATCAGCATCTACAGTATGTCACCTTAAACAGCCATTCGTATTAGCAGCTATCATAATGGTTCAGCCGAAAATGTACATTTACTTATCAACTGCTCACCCTAAAGTGAGTCTCTGTTTTCTGTTGAACATACAAATGAATATATTTTAATAACATACATTGGTAGCCACTGACATTAATTGCAGAAAAAAAGATTGAAGGAGACCAGTTTTCAATCCTTTTCAAAATATCTTTTCTTTGTGTTTAAATGATGAAAGAAACTTAAAAAAGAACAATTTGTTTGGAACAAATGGAGGCAGAGGTGATTTTTTGGTGAATCGTCCCTTTAAGAAGTTTCTGCTGTAGACATTTTCAGGAAAGGCACCACATCTGTAACATCTACCATATTGGAGACAAAATAAGCTCTCATCATTGATACAGCAAAACCCTGAGCAAACGGCTGATGTTTGCATGACTTTGCCTATTCAAATGTTGACGTCCCCATGGCTGCCCTTGAAGAGGAAGCTATTTCATTCTTGTTCCCTCCCTAATGGCTGTCAGTTCAGTCTAAAATCAACAAAAAATGAGATTGAAGAAATAGTCCAGCCAAAACTGAACATTTTCTCACCGTTTACTCCCTCTCAAGTGCTTCCATTTTCTTTTTCCCATGGAACACACATCTTTATTGATATTACTGAAGAATGCTGCAGTCACTGAATTGCCTTGTGTTTAATTTTATGAAAGACACTCAAATAGGTCTTTAACAAGTACAGTATGAATAAATAATTGACTTCTTTTTTGGGTGAACGGCTGCTTTAAACCAATTTAAGATGTGTATAAAGAAGGTTTCAATGTTGTTTTGGAAGCTTCTGGAATAATTAATGAACTCAGAAGCAGTAGCATTTATCAAGTCACTATTACTCAAAGAGTCTGCTTTAAAAGCCTCTGTTTAACTTGGCAAAGTAAATAGGAAATGTATTATTGATCCATAAAGCAATATTAATCCCATAACTTGCAAAAAGAATGCGCACACTGAAGTGAGAACGCAAGCTAATCTTCCATTTATCCATCCCTGGGGTTCTTCTGAGAGGGCTTTTAGAGATGCTAAGAAGAATTTGTACAAGTTAACTTCACCTTCACTCTCTGTCTGTTCAAGCAGTGCTTATTTTTTGTTCAGCAGAAGCAAAACAATGTACAAATACTTTAATAATCCAAAATAATTACTAAACGAGATCTTATCACAGACAAGTAAACATAAATCTAACGTCCGTCAGCCAATAGCTGAAATTATAAGTAACGCCCTGCACCTAGCGACACGATACACAAACAATCAACAGCCCTGCTGGTAACACTAGGGTAGACCTGCAGGAACCTTTTTGTCAGGCTTTTTGTCAGGCTGTACTGCTTAGAAGAACAAACATGCAACAAACTATTAAGCCAAACTATCAATCTACAGCATTTAAAACACAGCTTACTTCATCATTTGTTTGAGGCTAGTAAGATTTTATTGGTCACAATTTAAGGTAAGATTCTCACTATATATATTAATAAATCATTTATGACTTTTGCCTGAATAAAATAAATCTGCTGCTTATTAATAGTTACCAATGTAGCAGTAATGTTTGTATTGGGTAGGATTATGAATGTAGAATAAGATCCTGCAGAATATGTGCTTTATAAGGCCTGATAAACAGCCAATCTCTTAATAATAATCCAGTAATAAGCCCAACACAGGCTCATACTGAAAACGTACGTCTATATATATTTCTGGACAGCGCTAAATACGTCTGAGGAGGAATGGTTTTTTTTTGCAGTTTTTGTTTTCGCAAATCCACCAGAGGCTGCTGTGTACACTTCTCTCAAAATTTTCTCGCGAGTGTCATTTGAGCCTGCTATTCTCACATAAATCCACCAGAGGCCGCTGTCGACTGTTTGACTAACTGACTGACCAATCGACTGACCCACCCTCCTCCTTCCCTAAACCCAAGAAAAACCTGATTTTTATCAAGTTTTCAGATTTTACCACATTCCCATTCTTTTGTGTACTTGTTTATTTTATTTTTTGACTTCTGTTTATGTCCTACCCGCTTTCTGGAACCGTTCTTCACCGGATTGGAACCTCGTAATTGTGATCAACTCCTCTCTGCGTCTCAAGTTCGCCAACATACATGTCGAGCTAACTGGCCAAACAGAATGGCCAAACGAAATGGCACCGAAAAGGAAGGGCGTCATACCGCCCCGTATCGTTTATTTTAAAAACGAAATGTAGCCATACATACTTCTGGCTACATAATTTGCGATCTCCAGAAATGTATATAGGGCTACGTTTCAAGAATGAGCCTATGCTGCAACCAGCTACTAGTGGAAAGTGAGAATTGGTCCTAAAGTACTAAAGTAAGCAAAACTAAATTTTATTTATTATAAATTAAAAATAATAATAATTATTTGCTGCATTTCAATTACCAAGAATGGGCTGACTTGCAGAAAAATAACATTTAGAATGTTACAAAAATTATTTTCATGTTTTTCTTTTGTTCTTTTAAACTTTGTTTCTACAAAATAATCCTGAAAAATGTCTATTTTTTTTACCCCCGAAGGGTCATGTGAAACTGAAAACTAATGTAATTACTTCTGAAACTTTAACCTTACATGTCAGAAATAATTAAAATAACAGTTTTATAAAATTGCAATACTATCTCACAATCTCCTTTTTTTTTATCAAACACCTGCACATGTCAAGACACTTCATTCAAAAACATTACGAAGTCTTACCAACCTCAAACTTTTGTACAGTATTCCCCAATATAAAACACCCCAAACCAAATGATTTGAACCGTGCCCACTGAATGTCCTTAAATTAACAGCTCACTTTGTGTCCAGACATAGATGAGAACAGGATAAATAATTCACATCCTGAGAAGCTCTTTCCAAACCTGATACTGCAGAAAGTGATGTAAGGCTGGTCAGCCCAGATACAGGAGTGTTTGAGGACATGTAGTATTATTTCCACTTCTGTGCTTTTCAGAATACAACTTTAATCTATACTCTGACCAACTTTTTTTTTTTGTTAGTTTTTTTTTTTTTACAGTCAGCAACTATGTCACTATGAGATATACAGAGGCCTAAAGGAACAGGAAGTCAGTGTAAAAGCTATGAGGTCTTGTAAAATAACACATTCTCTGATTCAGGGAAGGACGGGCCTTTCTGGCACAATCAGCAGCCATTTCCTTCCCCTCACAGCATTAAAAAGCTCTGAGGGTGTGAGAGCGCACTTTATGTATGTACCCTGCCATGCTTAAAAGAGTCTATGCTGAAGGTCGAGATGTGCAGCTTATGAGCTAAAGTAAAAGCAATTTGCATTAAGGTTTTTGGTGGATAGTATTGGCGCAAACTGTGCAGCTTTGTGTTGAATGAAACTTCAGTTCTTTAGCTCAAGTATTAAATACTTATTAAATTAGTGTAAAACAGAGCCTTAAAACAGTCATGCATTCCTTAATCCTTCTTAAGGAACATCTTTAAGCTCTTATAATCATTGTAAGTTTAAGTAACCTCAATGCAATGGTGCATTAGCCACCTACTAACCCCCTTTTGGCTGTCACCTTAACAGACACTTTAATACAAAGCATCTTACAGGGCATTCAAGGTATACATTTTAATCCGTCCATGAGAGTCGAACAAACAGCCTTGCAGAGTGGAAACACTGGCCTTCATTTTATCTACTCATTTCAAGAATGCTAAACGAAACGGGAAAGCTTAGATTTCATTTAGAGTTCCAAAATGGCAGAAATATTAAGCTTCTGAAACGACAGCAAAGGAAAGTAATGGATGAGCTTATTTTGCATCAAATCATTTAAGTTCTAGAGAGCTAATCAATCTTTAAACAGAGTCTGGAGTCATTCTAAAGAGCAAAGGTGCAAAGCTTTCAGTGAAGCTTTCAAAATGTTCACACTTGTACTTCATGTACACCTAGAGGGTAAATACTTTTTAGAACTTAAGGGGAAAGCATTAGTATCTAAATAGTTCATATTAGCAGGAAACCTTAAAAATACTTATTAGTAAGGACATGTACTAGCATTGATGGTGCATATTAGCACCCTAAAAAAGGCTAATGTATAAGTCCCTAAAATTAACAAATTACTACTTAAATGTAAATATAAGTAACGGAACTACACTCTAAAAACTACTGTGCTTTTTTAACCAATATCTGGTTTAAATATCGACAAACACAAATAAAATTTAACCAGATGACAGCTTTGTGCCATTTTCTCAGAGTGCACACATGTCCAATACAAAATCTTTCATCTTACTTTAACAACCTGAACAGTGCTGAACATAATGCAAGGAAACCCACAACAGACAGGCTGTGTTTTCAGTCAAAACACATTAGGTCATAAACCTGTTCTGAATGCATCCAAAACACCTTTCTTACAATTCAGCAGTTAGCAGCATAAAGAAAACAGCACTTCCGTGTAAACGCTTCTCATTTTTTTGCTATTAGGTGCAAATGCACTCACTCAGTCTTCACCAACCCATCAGCCTTGCATTCATACACTACCTTTTCTACTTGTTTTGCCTGTGGACGCCGGAAGAATGAGGTTTTGGCGGTGAAGAAGGAGAAATCGTCGCTCTCCTCATCCAGGCTGCAGTATCCACTGCTCATGCTATTGCTGCCGGTCATTTGCGGGGTCGGATCCAGTTTGGGGGACTCCCTACACGGGTCTTCGTGGGACCAAATGCACCATTCCAGGTTCCAGGGATGGGAAGGGGAGGATGGGTTGGGAGCGGGGGACCACAGCTTCAGGTGAAGGGCCAGAGCTCCACGTGCTCCCGGAAACAAGCCCTGAAACTTCTCTCAGAGGTATCTGATGCTCAGTTCCTGTTTCCACAGGTCACAAACAGGCAGAAGTACCTTCTCTCGCTCCTGTCAGCCAATAGCCTGCTGATCTAAACCCACGACAACTGCTGGAGATGAGTAAAACAGCCCAAGGTGCGGGAAAGCATGTCAGTGCACATAAATTGCTGGTCTTGTCATCCACCAACTCGCATGCAGTCACACAGTCTTGCCATCAAAAGAGCTAAAGGTGTGAGAATGTTGCACGAACATTGTGTTGCATCTTCCTTGAACAGGCTCAGATGGATGCAGGAGTCTCCGGTAAAGCTGCGACGAAAGACAGCAGAAAATCAACCTGCTTCACAGTGACTGAGTGAGCGGAGAACTGACGTACTGCACCTCCCTCTCTTCCTCCTTCTCTCACACCACCGCGCACGCTCTCTCGCTCTCTCTCTCTTTCTCGCTCCACCATCTGTGGTTGGGTCTGTTATCTGCCTACAAGCTTGCGCAAACACCCTCCTCCTTCCCCCTCCCTCCTCCACTATCGCTCTTCCTGCATGCAACTGCTCTTTGCTCAACTCAAGACATTTCCCATTGAAGAGAAAAAGAGACTGAGAGAAGGCAAGAAAGAACGAAAGAGAATAGACCAGAGGAGCGGGAGGAGGAAGGAGAGGAAAAGGAGAGAGATCTCTGCATGTGGTCTTGCAGAGGCTATTTTACATAGTACCTGATATGCAAAATTGCCCTTGATGGCAGGCAGAATGAATTCGGAGTATTGTTGAAAGGCACTGAGACGTTAATGTAGGCAGCATTGAAAAAGAGATCTTATGTTTTATCAATTTGGAAAAAATAAGGGACGATGTGTAATCACATGATCATTATATTAAAAAAGGTGGTTTTGTATCAATCTAACAGGGTTTATTTTGTAAAATTATATCATGAGTTATATCATAAATAAAGAGATGGGCTCAACCAACAAGGACTTCCAGGACAACACATACACTTAATACACAGATACACTTATTTTCATTCTATCTACAATATATATTTTTTTATTCCTGCGGAACCTTTAGTAAAATAAAATAAAATCAAATAAATAAAATAAAATCTGCAGATTCCTTGTGGGCCTACCTATGTGCAATAAAATTGCAGGTTAACTATGTCTGTAGATAATAACGTATATTTGATTGTAACTTTAACTTAATTTAATTGTAATCCAATAACGTGCACTTTTTGAAAAGCTGCTTTGAAAGAATTATTAATTTAAATAATTAATGCTATACAAATAAACTTGAATTGAACTGAATAAATCTCAAAGCATTTTGACTAATATGACCTAGTATAAATAAAAGAATGAATGAATAAATGAAATTAATAAAATATTTAAATTTTTTTAAATAATTATCTAATTAAATATTCCAAATAAAATAAACATGTGTGTGTATATAAAAACACATATTTACCAAATAAATAATAAATGAAATGATAAAAAAATATATGAATGCAAAATCACATTAAATATTTAACAAATTGCTATTTAGAATAAATTAATTAGTGAATATTTGAGTTTAGATTTTTTTTTCTATAATGAAAGAACCACAGTTAAATGAGAAACATGAAAATAAACTCACTGCAAGCAGGTGGAATGGTCAATTACAATAAAGCATTCTAAACAAATCATTTCTTTTGTGATATACTATAAAATGTTGCATTCTTCCAATCAGAATCAAACCTTTTCTCTGCTGCATTTCACTTCTGCATAAACAAAATCCACCATTGTGCCCTGCAAATACTGTTTTCTCTAATAATAAATAACCTGTGATGTTCCTCATTTGTAAGTCACTTTGGATAAAAGCTTCTGCTACATGATTTAATGTAAATTTAAATATGCCAGAGAGCCTTTAAAAGCCACAGGTAGAATTCAAAGGCCTCACTGATAATCATTACTGTTGCACATTCTATAAATAATTCATCACACTGTAATGTCCTGCTGCCTCTGCACTGCATGAGCAATCTAACACTAATAGTAATAAACAGAGCAATCGTTTGAATGGAACCTTTAAGAGATGTCTTCCTGATGGACAAGAAAACAGCATCTAAAACAAAAGCAAATTAACCATACAAACACTGCAGACTAAGAAAAACCAGAGCGTCACAACATTAAATGTACATATGTTCCACCGCAGGTCAAAATTAAAGTTGACATCTGATCTCTCCTTGCAGCCATCAGGGCTTTTGGTCTTAACCTTTGACCTTGACCTTGAGCGCATTATTAGTCCAGCTGGAGCACCATTATACGTTAGATGTGCACAAGATAAGCATATAAAATCAAATCACTGTCATATACATTCGGCTATCAACAAGAAATGAGTCACAGTGGTCAACCATTTGGTATTTTAATAATAATAACTAAACTAATGGTGGTTCAACATCCAACTAGTTTATTTGAATTTAGTTTTAGCTATCTTGAAAAAATATAATCTTGTGTAAGATGGTACTGAAACTGGGACCAAAATGTATCAATACAAACTTTAAACAGAAATGTTTGCTGACCTTTATTATTATTAATTTTGATCAATTTCGTTATTCCTGAAGGCTTTTGTGGTTTTGAATACATTTGCCTATTGAAATGTTCAGGTAAAATAAAGCAAACTTAGAACATCCTTCTGTCTGTTGCTTGTTTTCATGACTTGAATTTTTAACTGAACAGCCAATCAGAGTTCTCTCTTTTAGTTACGTAGAGGTTTATTGTTGATGGCGGATGGTGATTGATCAATCAACCAAATGTTCAATAACAGTGTCCAACCAGTGCAGAACACAAGCAAAAACTAAACTGACATGTGCTCAGTGATGATTACCACAACATATTGACAGTTGGCTTGGTGTATCAGGAGTCAAAACCTCAAAGCAACAGCTCACCCAAAATATGAATGTTTCTTTTTCATTTCCTCACAATAAAGTGGTTTTAAAAAAATGATGAATTTCTTTTATTTGTTGAACACAAAAAAAAATGTATTCTGAAGAATCTTGGAATTTTCCAGCATTCTTCAGTTCTGTATATTTTCTTTTTTGTTCAACAGAACAAATAAACTCAAACATGTGTGGAACAATAAGTAAACAATCAAAGTATTATTATTTTTGAGTGAACAACCAATTTAAAGCACTTTCTAAATGCATCCTATGTAAACATCTAAAAAATGTTCTGACTGGCAACAAGTGAATCCAAACTACAAATATACAAAATAATATATAAAACTTTAAATATACAAGATTTCTATCTTTTCTTTTTCAGTGGAAGTTGTTTCGTCAATACGGTGAAAGTCAACTGTATCCAGCCAATGACTGATAGACAACACAATGCCAAGCCGGCATCGCAATCCTTAACCCTGCCCCCTATGCAGCAGCAACCCGAAAAATACACACTCAGGCCCCGTTTACACTAATATGTCTTAGTTTTAAAATGACATTTTGGAATGTAAAGCGATCCACGTCCACACTGGCATCTAGCATTTCTAAAAAAGGTCTCCATCCACACTATACCGCTGAAAACGCACACTGTGCGCACGTCTGAGCTCCAGGCAGTCAGCGGGTGCTTTGAGCACAAAACCCCAGAGAGCAGTGCACGTCCCACAGTGTACCACTGGATCGCATCTCACTATTGTTGTTAAATGTGATATTTAATTCATCTGGTCTCTATCTACAGACTCTTTTGTCTTTTGAATCTATCAAGGTAATCTGTCACAGCATCAGTGCACTCAATCTTTTGCTTTCACGCTTTTACTAAGTAATTTTAGCAAAAACCTCAGATACTGTTGGTTGTGCATACAGACACAGATCACTCGGCCTATTTATGCCAGAGTCCCACAGAAAAAGTGATTGACAGGTGTTAATTTGTGAGTAACTTATCTTTATTTATTTAGGATTTGGTTATGGTTAAAACGGTAGGCTACAAATAATTATATTGTTATGAATAAATTAATGATTAATAAATAATTCATTCACCACTGCCTATGGCGATGATGCCATCGTCCATTGCAATGTTTCAGATTAGACATTGTTTGATGCTAAATTGTTCGACATCACCCAACTCTAATTTAAACAAAATAACTTTAGTGTTTTGCAGAAGAAAGAAAATAATCTAAATAATATTTATAGCACATCAGTACCATCAACTTGATAATAACTTGTTAATTATTTAAAGGAATACACTGATATAAACAATACAGCTGATGTAACTAATTCTTTATATGTGGAAGCTAAAAACCGATATAAACCAATGAAATCAAACAAACAGAATGTCAACTGATTCTAATAAGGCAGCATATACAAAGCGCATCACTGTAATTATCTAACAGCCTTTTATTCCTTCAGCGACTAAATGCAATGCAATTCTTCACTGCGTTACTATGGGAAAACACTGGCAATATCCCAACTTGAAATGAGATCATTTATCACCACTTTTTTCATTTATTGCCTGCTTTAGTCTGGATTCTGCAGCAAGTAGACAATTTCTCACAAAGGGACATAAAAGACGAGAAGAAAGAGGTTGCCACTATAAACGAGAGGAGGCTGAAAGCCACTTTGGATTCTCTTTAGTCAGCATTATTAGATTCTCACTGAACACCGCAATGGGCCACATTTCTGCCATCTTCTTTCAATGCAGCATGGCTTACACTATACATCTAGAGTCCATATTCATAAACGATGACAATCTGATGTGCACGAGCTATGGATGGACATAAAAACATCATCACTAGCAGCTTATGACAAATTACCTTAAGCGTTGGCCTTGGGTCACATTATCATAATCAATGAGTTGGATGGCTGGAAAAGACAGAGGGGCTGAGCTCATTCAATATCCAAAGCCCCTGGGGAGAAGAAAGGTCCTCTTTTGGCTACTGTCAATATACCCCAATTAATTCTCGCAAGAACTCAATCGTTTCCCTCAAAAGAGCTTGCAAGGGGGTATATGCAATTGCCCAGGAAAACTTAATCAATACCATGGATGATGTGTGCAAAATCAAAGTAAACCACCCAGACTAAAAAAGCCACAATGAAACTGTGAGGGGCCTAAAATGGAGGGCAATACATGCAAGTGGAAAGTGTCATTTGTCACCGTCAAATACCGGCTGTAAAGTTGTCTAAAGTATGAAGTATGGAGTGAAGAGGCTTACAGATAATCGATGTGCCTGACAATGATAATGCATCTCAAACAATCCAGCATTTTTCTCTACAGGGAAGCAGATGGCTTTGTATTCCCTCCGCGTTTTAGTTCTAAACGTTTCTTCTTGTAATTGCTCTGCTATTGTGCTGGCGACACGTTCTGTGAAGAGTAACTGTAGGCTTGGTTAGATCATGACACTGGACTCGGCTCTTGTTTCACAGTGGTGTTAAATGCCGTTAGGACGCTCCATATGATATGTTTCTGATCCTGCTGTAACACCTCTCTTATTCTCGAACTTAGTTAAATAATGCAGATGGTTTCTGATTTCCAGGCCTGATGATGAGCAAACTGTGGAGGAGAAACAGTCTTAGCTCTGTTTGGTGGGCTCTCTGTGAAACAATGGCGTATTTATAACCCGTGACTATTCTTTACTGTTATCAGCTGTTACTGAATGTATTGTTCCTTCCTACGTCTTCAGATGCATAGAGCTCTGAACCAACAGGCTGAATTCTAGTAGCTATAGTTTATATATAAACTCATGACTTCCTGTGTGGTTTTTAAAAAACAACGAGTAAACATCAGGGCTGGGGAAAAAAAAAGAAGAAAAAAAAATATATATATATATAGAACGATAGAAAGAATGATAGATAGAAAACAATGATAGATATAAAGAACGTTAGATAGAAGGAACAATAGATAGAACGAATGATAGATAGAAAAAACAATAGAGCCATAGATAGAGCTTTAGGCTAGAACAATAGAATATTAATAGAATGATAAACTGATGGAATGATCAATAGAATGATGGATGGATGGTTGGAATACAATAGGTAGATGGATAGAA